TTAAAACAAACAGAAAGGAGATGCCTGGATGGCTCCGTCGGTAATGCATGAAAGTGTCAATCTCGAGGTCTTGAATTCGAGCCCCACATTGGGGGGAGAGATTACTGTAAAAATAAATGAATAAACCAAACAAAAAACCTCACATAAAACAAGGCATATATTTATCAGTTGAAGAGTACGTGAACAGAGGCTCACAGCAGCCTAACCTCGGAGTAATGGCATTTGCTAACCCAGGGTCTGTGGCAACTTTATAGAAGACAACTTCCTGAGAATGACAAGAACCCATGCTGTATTTTGCTCAACCAGATTTTTACAGCTGCCCCTATACTATGATGAATGTTTTACACTCAACTGGAGAGAATACATGGAAAATTAGCAACCCATTATTTAAATCGTTGTAATTAGTGGATTAACAATTTCCCTAAAACAGGACACAGATAACATTTCTGGCAAAAACCCTCATGTTTCAACCTGACTTTCCTTATCAACCTTGTGTTCTCCTCTTACCAAGAATAATTACTGATGTGGTCCCATCTCCAACCTCTTCATCCTGCGTCCGGCTAATTTCAATCATGGATTTGGCTGCTGGATGCTGGACTTGAATCTGAAAATAAAAATGTAGGATACCACCAAAGCAACGCGACTCAAAGGCCTCTTAACCCACTGCTTGTGGTCCTAGCTCTCAGGCTTCTTACTCCCACACCTACTCCCTTATCCTTTATTCTACCACAACTTGGAAGACTGGAAGTGGTCCCCAATATATCTAAGTAAACCCTCTTTCCAAGTCCCTTTCTTTTTGGAGAAAAATGCATATGCAAACTTGACTATTAATGTTTCTTGAAGACACACTGTATTCTTTCAGCTTATCTCCCGGGAGCACGGCTGCTGTGCTTGGATTGTGTTTTCCAAAAGGCCGTGTTGAAGTCCTATCCTCTGAAACCGTGAATGTGAACGTTTTCGAAACTGGGCCTTGGCACATATAATCAAGTTAAGATTAGCTCATATAGAATATTAAAATAGGCCCTAAATCCAACCATTGGCGTTCTGATAACAAGAGACACAGAGGAGAATGGCACATAACAACTGAGAAGGAGACAAGAGCCTAACAAGCCAAGGAATGCCAAGGGTCATGCTCAACCACCAGATGCTAGAAGCAGCTAAGATTCTTCCCAAGAGCCTTCAGAAGGAGTACGGCCCTGATGATAAGTTGATTTTGGACTTCCAGCCTCCAGTTTGAGAATAAATTTCTGTTGTTTATGAACACTCACTTTGTGGTAACTTGTTACACCAGCCCCAAGAAACTAATCATCGTATATATATGACTTTATGGGCTGTTTATAAAATTATCCAAAAACAAAATGAAAAGTCAAACCTCTCGAAGAATGGCATTGCCATCATTGGTCATCACAATGCCTCCCATTGGGTCCAAAAGCATCTAGGACAAAAGCAGAAGTTATACCTAATTGTTCCAGGTTACAGAAAAGGAAAATCTGTAGTCAAAAAGTTTCAGTGAGAGGCCTACCTTCATCATGGACTTGGGTCCCAGACATGTTCGGATGATATCTGCAATGGTCTGTCAGGGAGAAAATATAAAACCTGTAACCATCCATCAGAAGACGGTGCGAAGACGTGTGTGTGAGAAGGGACACAAGGAACCTGCACAGCCAGTGTTTAGCCCCTCTCAAGTCAGGCTGATAACCACGCTAGACATAGGGCACCATGTGGCTAGATTCTGTTTTCTCCCCTTGAGAAATTATTTCAGCGCCGATGTATAAAAAAATACTTTTTCCCAGGGAAAGAAGGGGACACGCCTTCCAGAATTTCAGTTTCCCAGTAGCTCAGATAATTGAAGTTTGCCTATCAGCGTTTCTTTCCCCAACAGTGGCCTCCGCACCATGCTAACTCAGATCCAGGGCTGTTGCATTCTTTCATCCAGAAGATATTTATTGACTACCTAAAGAAGGTGCCCTACGGTGGGCACTAGGAATACAAATGGGAACACGGTCCTTTCCTTCAAGTAACCCAGTCTTAGCATGTGAGACGAGCACAAATGGACTATCATACGGTATATGGTAATAGAATTATGCACAAGAAATATGAGAAGACTGTTAGGTCTACCTCACTGAGGGAGAGCATCCTTCCACCCACACCATCAGAGAAATGTCCTAAAGAAGGGAAGTCAAAATCTCCTCCACCTATGTGCAAACAAATACAGAAATCCTAACGAAGGCAGCTAGAGACAAGATAATACTCTGAAATACTTAGAAAACATGCTACCTTAGGGGCACCTGGCTGGCTCAGTCGGAAAAGCATAAGACCCTTGATCTCGGGGTTGTGAGCTGGAGCCCCACACTGGGTGAAGAGATTACTTAAATAAAGAAATCCTACCTTGGCGGCATTGATGTTTCCAGATTGGACTTTTCTTCCAGATTCCCGCTTTGTGTTCTGGCCTAAAATGGAGAAAATAAAATGTAACAGATCAGATTTGCCTGTTGTACAGATACTACTTATCCCCTGACGTTTGAAAGCAAGACCCCCCCCACACACACACCTTACAGACATACCTTCATCACATCGTACTATGTGTAGATTATATGTCAACATACCTTAAAAAACTGAAAAAAACAAACATATGGACTTACAACTACTTCTTTATGTCAACCCCTAATATACCACAGGATCCAGAACATTCAATGCTGTAAGACTGGGTCATGGCTTTCTCACTAACCAAACGTTCACGTATCTACAGCAAACGGCTCATAACCGGAGCTCCATGAATGGGCCCCAGTGGAATGGTGAACTTGTGGAGGTTACATGAGAAAATAGGAGATACTGCATTTTTGTCTGGAAAGAGGGTCTACAGATTCTCAGAGCTGGCGACCTTCAAAAAAACATCAAAGGGGGCGCTGCGGTGGCTCAGTCGGTGAAGCATCAGCCTTCAGCTCAGGTCATGATCTCACAGTTCGTGAGTTCAAGCCCTGTGTCGGGCTCTGTGCTGACAGCTCAGAGCCTAGAGCCTGCTTTGGATTCTGTGTCTCCCTCTCTCTGCCCCTCCCCTGCTCACGTTGTCTCTCTCTCCGAAATATATAAAAAAAAAAAAAAATTAGAAAATCAAAGGAAGGGGTTTGGGTTCCTATTCTCCTACTTGGATGGGGGATCACACGGATGGTCCCAGCGTTATTTTGGACAGTGCCCCACAGCATGCACTGCGGTGAGAAAACCCCTCAGAGGCCCCTCAGAGGGGAGCTCTTCCTCAAGACACAGCCACTCCACGCCTGGACACAGCAACGATGCCTCAGTTGGAGCTGACCCCATATTTTAACACGCAGCCTAAAGGGTGACATCCAACCAGTGCCAGGGATTAGTGCAGACCTAGAAAGGGCTTCACATGTCACCACCACCCCGGGGGGCCTCTCAGTGAGTCAAGCCAGGGGCTACAACCAAACCAACACGAAGCGTACTTAATGCATATTTCACTCCTCTCTCCGAATCACACACTCCGCACAATTTCAATCAGCAAAGTTTCTTTTTTTTAACTTTTAAAAATGTTTTTTATTTTTGAGAGAGAGGCGAGACAGCATGAGCAGGGGAGGGTCAGAGAGGAAGAGATACAGAACGCGAAGACAGGCTCCAGGCTCTGAGCTGGCTGTCAGCAGAGCCCGAAGCTGGGCTGGAGCCCATGAACCGTGAGATGGTGACCTGAGCCGAAGTCGGACGCGTAAAGGACTGAGCCACCCAGGTGCCCCATCAATCGGCAAAGTTTTCAACGCAGTCCTTCCAAACCTACACACCCACAACCCTCGGAATTCAGATTCCTGTTTCGGGCAGTGGGAACTAAAACCCTGCCTGGACTGTTCTGATAGACGCATCGGGAGGGACAGCGCCTTTTCTCCGTTAAGTGAAATTTTTTTCTGTAAACAGTTAAGTGATTTTATTTTCCCCTTGAAAACAGTTATTTCCCAGGTTTAAGGAAAACGGATCGCATTCCGTATACAGAACTTAGTAAGGGAGGGAGAACAGGCGCCCAAGGTGCTCTTGCACACCCGGTCCAGAAGTTACGGAGAATGGAACAAGCCAGGTAAGGCCAAGAGACGTGGCACTGCTTAGCGAGAAACCAGGGGACACTGCAGGAAAGACCACCACGCGGAGGCCACGGAGGGGCTAACGGCCATCTAAGCCAGAGCAGCGAGGGAACCGGGCGGCTTCACGAGCCGGGTCGCTCACGGGAAATCCTGGAGGGCCGCTTCTGAAGAGTGACCAAGGATCCCACCGGCTGCCCGCCAGGCCCCCTTCTCAGCAGTTTACCCGCTTGTGCCACCGAACCCTCTCAATCCCCCGCGGGGCACTGTCAACCCCGATACTGGGGACGGAAGCGCCGCGATGCATCCCGCCGGCCGGGGCCACACCGCTCCGCCGCGGGCCAAACGGAAAAAGCCGCTCCTCCGCACCCTGCAGCCACGCGAGGAGGGGGCGGGGCGGCGCCGAGTCTCCGCACACCAGGGGCTCGGCGGGGACAAGGGAAAGGCTCAGGCGCACACAGGAAAGCGGGAGCGGGGGCTTCCGAAAGGGACGAGGACCGGAAGGCTCCGTGGCCCACCAGGACGAGGCTGCGCTGGGGCAACACGGCCAAGTGCGGAGGGAAGGGGCGAACAGGGGGCCCCTGCCCTGGCTTCTCCCCAACTCACTGAGCACGAGCACCGGACGATGGCCCATCATGGCGGCGCGATGCGGAGCCGGGTACCCACAGCTGGGGGAACCGGCAGAACCTTCTGGAGAGAGAGAACCAGAGAGAAGTCCAGAAAACGCTGCCTCCTCAGGGCTCACATCAAGCTGCTACCCTCCGGGTCGCCGCCAATCACCGCACCCGGCTCAGTGACCGGCACGAAAACCGGCCAATCGACATTCTTAGCCCCGCCCTCTACGCAAGAACGCCAGGGCAAGCTAGATAGAGAGAGCGCGATGATGGACATGGGAGGGCGCCGGCGCTTGCGCAGTAGAGGGGCCGCTCCCGGCCGCGTGCGGCGCGCACGTCGGCGCAAGCGCGGAGGCTGGGGCAGTTGGCCGGCGCGCCACTGCGCATGTGTATCAACTAGAAGGGTGGGTGCCGGGCCGGAGGCTTTCGAGTAACAGCGCGGGTGAGGTCGTTGAGCTGGCCGGCGTCTCAGGTCTTCTGGGGCCGCGAAGGTCAGAAGCGTGACAGCCTCTAGCCGTAGCTGCGGGAGGAATGGCGGCGCGGGCCGACTCGGGAGCTTGGGCCCAGCGGGCTGGCGGTGCCCCCCTCGGGGCGCGCTGCGAGTCGTGCTTCGCTGCCCCGGGGCTCGGTGCCGAGCGTGCCCTCCCGCGTCTCACGCAGGCGCTTTCTGCTGAGGAGGGCAGCGGCCCCCCGAGGCCGGGTCTCCCACCCAGAGGGTGTTCCCAGGGGTCCCCCGTGAAGCCTTGCGACTTCTGTCCCCGCCCTCCGTCCAGGCCACCGCGGCTCATTAGACGGGATGGGAGTCAGGTTTCCAACCTGCCTCATAGGACAGGAAAGTGGCTGATGCCGCAGACGCGAACGGTGGAGACGCGCGGACAGTAGTCGCGCGTTAGTGCGGGACCCTTTGAAGGTCTGGGTTCGGTTGAATTACTATTTTGTCCAGAAAAGAAGGAAGCCGTGATAATAATAGAGCTGACTTCCACACGAGTGAAGGGATTTGTAACCCAAGAACAGGCGCCTATATGTTTGGCGGTGAAATGGGACCGTACAGCCTTTCACCCTCTTTCCTCCCCAAACCGGAGCAGCCCGAGGCGCGCTGTCAGTAGTAAAATAATCCACGGTGGTTGATGAAATAACGCTCTGATTCTTCCCCAGGCACCACACCTGTTCAGATGGAGCAGTGTGCTAGTCACCCAAAGAGCAAAGGTGTGTGTCGGAGCCCCTGCTTCCCTCCCTCGAAAACCAGACCTCCAAAAGTACTCAGACATTTGGGAAAGTGATTCTAGTTTCTTCCTTTTTTCTCGGTTAACTGGAAAAGATTGGTATCTGTGCTGCATTTTCCCATCAAATGGGGACACTGCCAGGACATTGCTGGCTGGCTCAGTCAGCAGAGCAGGTGACTCTCCATCTCGGGGGTCGTGAGTTCGAGCCCCAGGTTCGGTGTTGAGCTTACATAAAAAATAAATAAATGAGGGGCGCCTGGGTGGCTTAGTCGGTTAAGTGTCTGGCTTTCGCTCAGGTCATGATCTCACGGTTTGTGGGTTCGAGCCCGGCGTTGGGCTCTGTGCTGACAGCCAGCTCAGAGCCTGGAGCCTCTTTCAAATTCTGTGACTCCCTCTCTCTCTGACCCTCCCCTGCTCACGCTCTCTCTCTCTCTCTCTCTCTCTCTGTCTCCTAGAAATAAATAAAACATTAAAAAATTTAAAAAATAAATAAATGCGACCATTGCTATGTTCCCAGGGCCTAGAACTGGGTCTGTTAGAGAATAGATGCTCAATGATTGTATGCTGAATGAATGCATTATTCTTCCTTTGTTTCTCCTCTTAATACTTGGAACAGGACTTGAAGTGCAGGGATCCCAGGAGACATAGTGTTAACTGGAGTAAACAGATACTCCATTTAAGTGGGACAGTCGCACTAGTGGCCAGGGGCTGTCTGACTCCAGAGCCCACCCACTTAGCCGTAAGTGGAGTAGATGGCTCTATCTGAGAGGCCTACTGCGTCATAGCTTACACATGATGGACAAGCTCTTTTCTCAGACTCTGTCATATACTGGTGAAGAGCATGACTTTGGAGCCCACGAGCCTGGACTTAACCCCAGCCCTGCCACACGGCTAGTCGTGGGATGTTAAGCAAATTTCCCAACTTAAGTTTTCTCATATAAGATGTGGCTAATGCTACCTACTTCTTAGGGTCGTTGTGAGTACGAGACAACGTATGTAAACCCCTTTTATTTTCTGTGTTCTGCATCCTTCTGCTCCCCAACCTCATTCTCCGTTACTGTGCAGTCAGAAATGTGATTCCTGTAATATGGCCTGTGTGTAAGTACTGTGTGTAAGTACTCCCCAGACCTTACAACCTGGCAGAAAATCGTCCTCATGTACCTAGGAAGGGCCCGCATTATCGACACATGCATTTGCATGGAAGTTGAAGTTCTGTTTTTTTGATGGCGAGAATAATCTTTTTTTTAACTATTTTTTTAGTTTTTATTTATTTTGAGAGAGAAAGAGAGAGACGGAGGGAGGGACAGAGAGAGCGAATCCAAGCAGGCTCTGCACTGTCAATGCAGAGCCTGATGTGGGGCTCGAACCCACGAACCGTGAAATCATGACCTGAGCCAAAGTCAAGAGTCGGATGCTTAACCGACTGAGCCACCCAGGCACTCCTAAACTGTCTTTTTTTTAATGTTTATTCATTTTTGAGAGAGCATGAACGGGGGAGGGGGGGAGTGGGGAGGCAGAGAGAGAGGGCGACAAAGGATCCGAAGTGGGCTCTGTGCTGACAGGCAAGCCTGATTTCACGAACCGTGACATCGTGACCTGAGCCGAAGTCAGACACTTAGCTGACTGAGCCACCCAGGCGCCCCTTGGTGAGAATAATCTTGAGACCTGAGTTTCAGCTTCTGTCTCCTTACCGGAGACGTCAAAGGACTGACGAGGCCAAGGGAAAAGGAAACTGAGGGCCGTGGGCAGCACAGGCACTAAAATTGGAACCACACAGAGATTAGCATGGCCGCTGTGCGAGGTGACACACAAATCCATTAATTGTTCCGCATGTTTACTTCTCAAAAAAAAGGAGGAGGAGGAGGACGAGGGCCTTCAGTAGGGCTTGGAGCATCCGCAAACCCCGATCTCCCTCACCAGGAGTAAGAGGGGGTAAGACATTTCAATTTTGAAAGGCTCAGTGAGCTTCCAGATGGAAAGGACCGCAGCCGGGCTCCGGGCTCCGGCGCCAACTACCTCTCCCCCTTAGCAGGCTGTGGCTCTGTTGGAATCAGAGTTCAGGACAAGAATACATCTTCCTTCTTACAACCCACTTGTCACACCTCTGCCCCCAGGCCTGTGGTCCCGCACCTCTGTCCTTCGGATCACAGCTGAGACAGGATCACTTGCGGGGAACACGTCCCCCAGCTGCCCGGACGAAGTTATAGGTTAGGTGCTCTTCCAGCACTTTCGGGGCGTAATAAGGTGCATGGTCGATCTCTTAGTGACCCTCTACACTGCAACCCTGTCAGCTCCGTGAGGGTCGCGAGCACGTGTGTGTCTAGCTCGCTGTGGTGTCACGGTGGGCACTTCACAGGCGCTTAGCTGTCTCGTGTACGAGTGAACAAGCGGATTCCATTCTTCTGTCCTTTCTCGTCTCCGGAAGTGAATCATGGGCTCCTTTGGAGGCCTGGCTGCCTGCCTCCGTCCGTCACTTCTGTCTGCGTTGTCGTTTCCTTCTCATCTTCCAAACTGCTGGGGTGGGGGCGCTCTGCAAGGTCCAGGTTTCTACTTTGGAGAGCTAGTGTATTTGTGTGTGTGTGTGTGTTTTATTTTATTTTTGAGAAAGAGAGAGACAATGTGAGCAGGAGAGGGACAGAAAGAGAGGGAGACACAGAATCTGAAGACAGGTCCAGGCTCTGAACTAGCTGTCAGCACAGAGCCCTACGCGGGGCTCGAACCCACAAACCGCGAGATCATGACCTGAGCTGAAGCTGGACGCTTAACCAACTGAGCCACCCAGGCCCCCTGAGAGCTAGTGTATTTTTGCAGCTTCCTCACCACCACTTTGTGGCCGGCCTGGCAGTTTAACCTTTCACCTGAGCTCACTGCCACCGCTGGCTGCTTTTCTAGGCCTTTCTATGTCGACCGCCTAATCTCAGCTCATTCCGCGTGTCCCAACGTGTGATAGTTGGATGGGACCCAATTCAGACTCCCTTGAGTGAAAAAGGAAATTCAGAGGCTTGTGCGGTTGGGGGATTGAGATGGTCACAGAACAGGAAGTAGGTGGGGCGCCTGGGTGGCTCGGTGGGTTAAGCGTCTGACTTCAGCTGAGGTCATGATCTCAGGGTTCTTGGGTTCAAGCCCCGTGTCGGGCTCTGTGCGGACAGCTAGCTCAGAGCCTGGAGCCTGTTTCAGATTCTGTGTCTCCTTCTTTCTCTGACCCTCCCCTGTTCAGGCTGTCTGTCTCTTTCTCTCTCTCTCTCTCAAATTAAAAAAAAAAAAAGGAAGAAGGCCTGCAAAAGGCAGGGCCTCAGGGACCGAACTTTGGAATTCTGTGCCTAGAGGTGTCTGTCCACCCACCTCTCTTGCACTTTCATGTCTACTGCCTTGCTTGTATCTGCTCCTTAAGGCACATGCCAGCCAAATTTGGCAGCTTTCATCTGCCCCAGCTTTGCATTTTCCCAGCATAGCGAATCAGAAGAAAAGAAGTTTCTTTGACCGCAGAATCCTCATATCAATCCCAGAGAATGACTCTGGCCCAACCTGCCCCTTGCGCTTACCCCTGGGGTCAGTTACAGTTGCCACAGAGGATGAGATACCACGGTTGGCCTGTATTGGGTCACACTCCCTTTTCCGTTGGGGAGAGGGGCCTGATGTGGTTCCCCCCACCCCCCCGTATGGCCTGGAATCTGGGGAAAGAATAGCTTCCCAGCAGAAGTGTTGCTCACTAGACAAAAATAACGTTATGTCTGTATAGGACTCATTCGTTACCTTCTCCCTACAAATCAATTTTTCCTTCTAACTTAACTGTTTTTGCCAAAGGTTATTTATTTTCCCATTCAGGAACTTCTTTCATGTCCAGCCCATTTTTTTTAATGTTATATTTATTTCTGAGAGAGAGAGAGAGACAGCGTGAGCAGGGGAGGGGCAGAGAGAGAGGGAGACAGAATCCGAAGACAGGCTCTAGGCTCTGAGCTGTCAGCACAGAGCCCGATGCGGGGCTCGAACCCACGAACTGTGAGATCATGACCTGAGCTGAAGTCGGGCACTTGACCAACTGAGCCACCCCAGCGCCCCTATGTCCAGCCCATTTTAATACCTATGGATTAACAAAATGCAGTTTTTATAATATTTTTTAATCCTAAAAGGCCTGAAGGCTTTCTGTCATATTCAAGAGAAAGCCCGAAGTCTCAGGTTCGCTGTCGTGAAGGGTCTTCCATGGCCCCCCCTGTGCCCCCGCGCTCCGGCCCTCTTTTCCCGTCCCAAACACCGTTTTCACTTCTCGAAAGCATCTTGCGTTCAAGGTCCAGTAAATACCCTCCACCTGCCTGGAGTCCTCGCTGACTGTGGTACGCGTAGCTTGCACTTATTCAAAAGCATCCGCTTCGACCTTCAGTCCCCCACTTGGTAGAAGCACGAGACTTAAGGCCTCATTTTCACCCAGACGCACTGTTTCCGTCCTTCGGTCGTGGTGCCGCGTCTCGTCAATGCCCGAGGTGTCTCCCAAAGAGGCAGTACGTACCCCAGACCCCGCACTCGGCGTGGCGTGATGCCCTGGCGTCTGGCACAGCGGGGAGCCTGCAGCACGTGCCCGCGAGAGCTTGTCAAACAGAAGCAAACTAGAGTTTAGCTGCGCCCGTCCCTGCCTGCTTTCCTTTAGTCCACTGCGGTTCCTTTTCTGTTTGTCTTACCTGACTTTCTCCGGGGCTGTTCAGGGCAGGGCCTCGGCCCCCGTGTTCACAGACCAAACGTGGGGATCCAGTGAGAAAGGCCATCCCTGGTGGGAAATAGCTCTGATTAGTTCCCTCTGATTTTGTTCCAGCCAAAGAGGAAAGTAATGCTGTGCCTCTTTGTCGAGCCAAACCCTCCCCTAGCTTTATTAATCTTCAAGCAAGTTCCCCACCGGCCACATTCCTGAGCGTCCAGACAGCAAAGCTGCCCTCAGGTAAGGATGCAGGGGGAGTCTCCCAGACCAGCTCACTGTGTCTGTATGCGGGGGGGGGGGGGGCAAGCCTTCTCCCCTGCATCTGGTGCCAGCTCTGGCTCAAGCCACCCTCAGATTTTTCACCGGTAGCTTGTCCACCGTTGTCATTTTCTTCCTGATTCCTCAAGTTGTGCTGTTTCCTTGCACATTAGCGCCTTTCTTAGGGCCAGGCAGGACCGGAAGGAAAATGTCACTGCTTGTTAGTGATGGTAGTTCAAAAGCGGCCAGGGAAGGAAATGGTAGTTATTAGCTCAGTTTCTTGAATTCCAGTTATATCATCCTCCCGTGGGGGAGACTGGGGGGTATTTAGGTGCCTGTGGGGAGCCTACCCGGGCACTAGACAGCCGTGACATGAGTTTTTGAGGCCCTCAGAGTTTAACAAAGAAGTCAAGACCAAGAAGTGCATGAGCAGTAGGCAAATAGCCACCAAGGATACCTAGGAGCTGGCTTCGTGTAGCGTAACCAGGGCTACGGGAGTTAGTCCACGGGAGGACCACGGGTCACTGCTGACGAGACACTGTGTCAGACAGGAGAGGGAGGCCGAAAGGGGGGTTAGGCCTCACTCTCCGGTCGTTTCATTCACCCATCAGGTATTTTTCTAGTTCTTACGTGCCAGGTGCTGGGGATACAGCGGTGAGCAAATCAGACAAAACCCCCTGCCTTCCTGGAGCTTATGTTCTAGAGGGGAACTTAGCAATTAAATATGTAATTACCAGATATGCTGTCTGATCCTAAATATTAGGAATATTTGCTCATCGGCCGAGCAAAGGTGCATGTGGGTCGAGTTGTGCCTGGAAAGATGAGAGGGTCATCCCGCTAGAGCCCTCCCTGCCTCGGTGCCATCACAGACTCTCCGGTGCCCTTTGCTCCTCCGTTGCTCTCCCTTCAGGAGTTGACCCCAAGCCCAAGGAATGCCTGGGACTCCTGGAATGTATGTATGCCAACCTCCAGCTTCAGACCCAGCTCGCCCAACAGCAGATGGCTATTTTGGAAAATTTACAAGCGTCCATGACACAACTGGCTCCTGTGCGGGGCAGCAAGAGCTCCTCCCTCCCGGCCTTGTCCCGCAATCTGTTGCTAAATCGCCTGCCCCAGTTCAGGAAATGAATTGTGGAACGAAGTTCTTGTGTACGTTGCTTCCTTTCTCCCCAGCAGACTCCTGGTGGGACCTGGGCATGCGCATCCCGTCCACGGTTGGTTCCCAGGCTCACAGTAAGGGCTCACTGGGTACAAAGTGCTGGACGAGGCACTTGGGGATTCATCTCACAGAAGTGACAGCCTCGGGGGACTTACTGTCCAAAAAGGCAGCGAAGACAGATCATCCGTTGCCAAATGTAGCGGTACCTGAAGGGGGACTGGAGGTGGGGAGGGGTCTCTGGCAGGATGCAGCAGGACCGACCTTGGACTCTGGCTGCAGGAGGTGGCCTTACGATGGCATGTGACGAAGGGGCGGGGGTGGGTGGCATAGGTAGAAGAAGTAAGGTGCTTTCGTGTCAGTTGGGAGGCTTGGGCAACAACCTAGAGGTAGGAGAATAAGTCATTAGAAATTAGGAGAAGAGATATCCCCCGCCCCGAAGATGAGTGGGATTGGATATGGAGCAGCTGAGAACTCACGAGGCACTTTCCCCTGGGCAATTGTACAAGTGTCAGCCTTTAGAAGCCCTGGTTTTATCTGAGGCGCTAGAGAGCCGTTGGGAGCTTTCAAATAGGAGTGGGGTGCACACAAGTTTATTTACCCAAAGGGAATGAAAACAAGACTTTGAAGAGAGCTCTACAGTCCCATGCTGACTGCAGCCTATTCACTGTGGCTAACACAGGGAAACGACCTAAGTGCTCCTCAAATGACAAATGGAAAAAAAGTTATGGTTACATATACACAGTGGAGTTCAGCCCTGAGAAGGGAGGGTATCCTTCCATTTGCCATAACATGGATGGACTTTGAGTACATTATGCTAAGTGAGGTCAGAGAAAGACAGGCACTATATAATATCACTTACATGTGGAACCCAAAAAATAAACCCAGTAAAATAGTAGTTAACCAGGGGATAGGGAGTTGGAGGCAAATGAGTGTTAAATAAGACACAGTTATCTAACCACAGTGTAATAAATATAGACAATATCACACTAAGTTTGTAATGTGATATAGTTACAAAGACAATCATAATACAGTAAATGCCAAAGTAACATTGTTCACCTCAAATTTAGACAATATTATTTGTCTAATATATTCAATAAACTTTTTAAAGTCATGCTCAGTGGAAAGATATTCCATATCCATGGATAGGAAGACTCAATATTGGTAAGATGTCAGTTCTTCCCAACCTGAAACCTGATCTAGAGGTTAAATGTCATGTCAGTCAAAATCCCAGCAAATTTGGGGCGCCTGGGCGGCTTAGTCAGTTAAGCGTCCGACTTTCGCTTAGGTCATGATCTCGCGGTTCGTGGGTTCGAGCACCGCATCGGGCTCTGTGCTGACTGCCAGCTCAGAGCCTGGAGCCTATTTCAGAGTCTGTGACTCCCTCTCTCTCTGACCCTCCCCTGCTCACGCTGTCTCTCTCTCTCTCTCTCTCTCTCCTAGAAATAAAATAAAAATATTTAAAAAAAAAATCCCAGCAAATTCTTTTGTTGATATCGACAAACTGACGTTAAAGTTTCCACAGAGAGGCAAAAGACCCAGAATAATGATGTTGAAGGAGAATGGATTTGGAGGACTGATGCTCCCTGACTTTAAGACTTAATCATATAAAGCTACACTAGTCGAGACAGTGTGATTTTGGCGAAAGGCTAGAGAAAGAGACCAATGGAACAGAATGGTCCCATAGAAGTCTAGGCAACTCCTCTTTGACAAAGGAGTAAAGGCAAGAAAGGATAGTCTTTTCAGCTGTGTGGGGACACCTGGGCACCCACATGCAAAAACGTGAATCTAGACCCCTTTCTTTCTCACCCCACGTCCAATCCTTCAGTAAACCCTATCAGTCTAGCTTCCAAATAGACCCAGAGCCCGACTGCTTCTGCCTTCTCCTCTGTGACCGCTACCTGATGGCCTCTCAACTGGCTGCCTGCTTCCACTTATCCCTACGGCTCATGCTTCTCCGGCAGCCAGGAGGATCCTTTAAAATAATAAACCAGATCATACTATTTCTCTGCTCTTAACTCCTCAGCTTCTCCCCATTATCCTTACCATAAAGTCACACTCCTTCTCAGGGCCTTGAGCCCTAAGTGTGCTGCCCACCCTTCCCTGCGCTGCCCCCTTGCTCACCACACTACCTGCCCTCCATGCTGTCACCTCAGAGGAGAGCATTTGCTGTTCCCTCTACCCGGGGTCTGTGAGAGTCCCTCTCTGGCTGACTCCCCGTGTCTCCTGAGTCTCCGGAGGCGCTCCCCAGCCAGCCGGTCTCCTGCCCACGCCACCCCCTACCGTCACTCTGTCCTCTCTCTCAGCCTCGTTTACATCGAAACTCCCACGGCATTTTATATAGCTCTCTGTGTGCGGTTACGGAGTCGCCCCCACCAGAAAAGCATCTCCTTGAGGGCAAGGTCACTGTCTGTTTGTTCACTGAGCCGGTGTCCTCAGGGTCAAAGCAGGGCCTGCTTGACCTTGCAATGTGTGGCTCAATAAACAGTTATGAACTGAGAAGCTGAGTGGCTATGACTTTGCTCAGCAACAGTGAGAGCCCCAGATTTCACGCCCTCCCCCACCCCGGGTGCCAGGGGCCTGGTACACTGGCCGGGCTGCAGGAGGGAGACCCAGAGCACGCAGCCCTCATCCTGATCGTGTCCTCGAGAGGGCGAAGTTCTGTGCCCATGGCCCCTCCAGCCACTCTCCGGCAGCCTTGAGCCCTTGTCGGGGACTCTGGGTCCCCTCTCCCCAGGTTCACCCAGCTGCTCCCGCCCGGCTGTGTCAGACGCCTCACCGGGCCCAGGGCAGAAATCTGCTTTACAACTGTTCTCTCCTGGGTCACGTGCAAGGAACATTTCTACTCAGTTGCTCCCTTTCCAGAGAAGAGGTGTTCATCCAACGGCGTGCCTCACGTTTGGGGAAGGCAGCGGGGAGGACGGGGCCGCCCAAGAAGGGGAGCGAGGGTACGGTCCCCAGACAGCCGGACAGCGGCTCCTGGCAGAGGGAAGCGGTGGGACCCGAGTCAGCTTTCCTGGCTGGTGCAGGGCGGAGTGTGGTTCTGGCTGGTTCCGTGGTGGTGATGGACTCCTCGGGAGAATGGAGGAAGAGCAGCTGGTGGGTGGGGATGACATTCTGTCCCCCTCCCCTTTTCACTGCGGTCACAGTCCCGTGAGCCGTTCCCATGAGTAAGCTCCCTGCACCCCACATTCCTTCCTGACTTCTCTCTTTTTTTTTAATTTTTAATGTTTTATTTATTTCTGAGAGAGAGAGAGAGAGAGAGACAGCATGAGCAGGGGAGGGTCAGAGAGACAGAGAGATACAGCATCTGAAGCAGGCTCCAGGCTCTGAGCTGTCAGCACAGAGCCCGACGCGGGGCTCGAACCTACGAACCGTGAGATCATGACCTGAGCCAAAGTCAGCCGCTTAACCGACTGAGCCGCCCAGGTGCCCCTTCCTGACTTTTCTCTTAAGAGGCCTCACCCAGGCACATGAGAGTTCACAGAGCACCCTGTCCTTTGTAACCGGACCGAGGGCCGGTTTCCTCACGACCCTAGCAGTAGACAAGCCTCCCCTAAGGCCACAGCCCGAGGAATGGCAGGGAAGGGAAAGAAATGGCCATACTGTTTATTTACGTTTCCTTAGTAACAGCAGTAATAACATGACTCCTGGTGCTGAAGACATACTGGGTGTCGTGTGCTTTGTGGCCATCAGTCCTCACAACAACCCCTGGGAAGTGAGTCCTCTCCCTGTAACAGGTGAGGCAACGGAGGTTTGAGCTTTGGTAAAGGGCGTGGACAGAGCCGAGGCTCTGACCCATGTCCCCTCACTCCGAGGCCCTGCCCTTAACCTGCTGCATTTTGTTGTCTTCCAAAACTTTTACTGATCAGGAATGGACCACAGCCCTGCGGCAGGATAGGCAGGGATTCAACTTCAGAATCAGGGCTGCCGTGAAGCCTTAGCAGCTGAGACGACATCTCCTCGGACTTGGCAGAGGACAGAGCGCCGTTCTGTCCCATGTGGTGGTGGTGGGGTGTGGGGTCAGCCCCCAGAGCCCAGCGCGGCCCCTGGCACACAGCAGGAGGGCAGAGCGAGGGTTACGTGGATGGAAAAAACTGGGGGTTTGAGATCATTGCCTCTTGACAAACTTTTTCCAAGGTACTGTCATTTTAATTTTTTAATATTTTTAATATTTATTTTGATAGACAGTAGATGTGCGCATGAGCAGGGGAGGGGCAGAAAGTGAGGGAGAAAGAGACGCCCAAGCAAGCTCCACACCGTCAGCGCAGAGCCTGATGCAGGGCGCGAACTCAAGAACTAGGAGAGCATGACCAGAGCCGAGACCAAGAGTCCATCACTTAACCGACTGAGCCACCCAGGTGTCCCTAAAAATTTTAAGTACACATTTTTTTTAAGTTTATTTATTTATTTTGAGAGAGAGAGCGTGCGCGCGTGCGCATACGTGACAGCAGGGAAGGGGCAGAGAGAAGAGGGAGAATTCCATGCAGGCTCTGCGCTAATAGGGAGGAGCCAGACTTGGGGCTCAAACCCACTAACTACGAGGTCATGACCTGAGCCAAAATCAAGAGTCGGAGACTGAGCCACCAGGCCCCCGGGTTTTTATGTTACAAATGAAGAAAGGTCAAGCACCAGTGACCCGACCGTCTTCTGCGCGGACACCCACACGGCGAAGCCCTGGGGGGAGAAAGCCCTGAATGGAAGTACGGTGTCGTGCCCGGTGCCACAGCGCATGCAGTTTTCGGGAGAGACTGAGGCCTGGGGCCTGCGCGGCCCCAGAAGATGGGCACCGGGGAGCCTGTAGCATAGCCTCTTTCCCTCCGTCCCACAGCGCTGGCCAGAAAGGGGCCTCCTCCACCCGAGCTGTGAAGTCAGGCCCAACCTCAAAGTAAGCATTGCTCCCTCTGGGAAACCTTCCCTGACCACCCCCACCACGGGTCAGCCCGGGCTCTGTCCTCGCCACAGCCCTCTGCAGCCTGATCAACTGTTCATGTACGTCCCCCGGAGGGCAGGGATCTTGTCCCCCGGGCTTGTCCCCCTGGCTGTCCGGCCCCAGCACAGCAGGCGCTTAGTGTGTTTGTTGAATGAAGGAAGCCTCTGCCTTTCCCCCAATCTCCTGGTCCACAGTTAAGTCCCGGGGCTGCTGGCCTGACGGCCCTTCCCCAGTGTGCCTGTCCCAGGCCCCTGGCCCCCGCTGCTCACCCCCCCCCGCCCCCAGCTATGACAGGAGAATGCATGGGGACTCTCTGCCCACCCCCACCCCCGCCTGCTCCTGTCCTCAGAGACACCCCGTGCCCCACAGCGTGCAGAGACGGTCACTGCTCTCTGCTCAGCTGCTCAGAACAGTAATAATCGCCGCATCTGCTGACGGCTCAGAGGATCCCAGCACTCTCCACGTCAACCGTGCGGAATCCCTAAAACAGTTCATATAGATGAGGAAACGGTCTCAGCGAGGGCTCGGCAACTTGCCCGAAGCCCCTCCATGCAGATGAATGGATGAAGGAATGAACGAACAAGAGTCTTAAAGGCTCTGGCGTTTCGCCACGTTTCTCCTTTGTTCCCCAAACACTGGGGAGAGCTCAGTGGAACCAAAGGAACCCAGTGGCTTTGGGGATTCCTGAGCCAAGAGCAGGGAGTCGGGAGGAGGCGACCCCAGCGAAGAGCAGCTCCAAGCAGCCCTGAGTTACTCAGTAACCCGAACCCTGGTCCCCACGGCCAGCCTGACCGCGCTGGGCGCGGAGAGCAGTTCCCCTTGGCCACCCTCAGGCGGCCAGCTGATGCCCGCTGGAAAGCAGAGAAGGAAGGTCGGAGACTGGGCAGGCCCCGAGCCAGCAGGACAGAGCTGGTCACAGAGTCAGGAGCCCCCTGGGGGACGTCTGGAGTGGAGGGAGGAGAAGGAAATAAAGCCCCCCATCCCACCAGGGCATCGAGGAGGAAGGAGGGACAGACAAGGGCCCTGACACCCCTTGGGGATCCAAAAGAAAACCATGGATGGAGTCTCTTCACTCTAGATGGTGGGCCAGGGGAGCCCTCACAGGTGGAGGCCCGCCAGGAGAGCCCTTGGGGGGAGGGGTGGGCTGGGAGGGCCCTTCAGAAGGGGAGGGCTGCCAGGGTCATGCCCTCTGTTGGACGAGGGGTGACGTGAGCTGGTACCACTAGGCTGTTAAATCAGAACGATCTTTCCATACAGGTTGGTAAATAGACGTTGCCCAAATGCCTACCCTCCGCTGGCCCAGATATTCTGGCCCTTCCGGGGGGCCCCCTCTAGACTTCTCGACATCCAGTACATAAAGGGTTAACCCCTGCCCGGCCCAGGGGCCTCCAGGCTCCAACTGTGTTACACATTTTGACTAGCATCTCAGGACATGGTCCCAAGTCCTGGCCCAGAGTTGGTGTTAAACAAATAGTTGTTGCACGAATGAACAGTGGAGGAGAGAGGAATCAGAGACCCAGAGGCGTTCAGGGACAAAGAGAGACAGCAGGTGCGGCAGAGACAGAAGAGGCTGGAGCCAGCGAAGAGGCTCCCAGAAGATGCTCTCCCTGGTTCTGCAGCTTGTGAACCTGCTTCCCCGGAGCCTCTCCAGCCCCTTCCCGGACAAGCCAGAGCAGCCCCCACCCCCAAACTGGGCCCAGGAAGCCAGCTGCGTCCCTGGGGCAGAAGGCTGGACCTAGAAGGATACCCCAGATGAATTGTCCAAGAATCATTATCCAAAGGCTGCTGACCAGACATGTCCCACCCCCACCCCCTGCCCCTGCAGCAGGAGCTGAAAAACAGTCTTCCTGCTGACCAAGTAGTGACAGAGGGCCTCTGGGCCAGGGGCCAGGGGCCACCGAAGGCCAGAGAGCCCGCTTCACCTGCTGGGAACAGTGCTACAGAGGTGACCCCTGCCCTCCCGGGCCTGCCTGGCTGGACACCTGGAACCCGGCCGTCCCCCAGGGTCCACACTAGGCAGGAGGCTCAAGCCCCCGGCCGCAGGGGAGGAGGCGCGCAGCAGGAATGGCAGAAGGGGAAGCAGGGAGGAGGGTCACCCCTGTCCCTGCCCATTCCTGAGGACAGGCACCATTCCCAGGAGGAGCTCACTTCGCGTCTACTCTGGGGAGTGGCTGGCCCCTCGGAGCCCAGGCCACGTCTTCCGGGAACAGCAGGGGCCTGCGACTGCTTGGCGAACACGGACAAGCCCCTCCCACACCGCAGCCCCTCAGACCCGGCTGGGCAGTGGGGTGGACGGAGAGCCCCCCCTCCCAGCTCCACAGAGACCGGCCTTCAGCTTTTCTCCTCTGAAGCCCCCATGGCCCGCAGGTGTCAAAACCGATAGCAGCGGGGGCTCCCCCTGTGAGAGTCCTCCCGCCACCCCGCACCCATGGGCGGAGGCTGTGTGTCAAGGCCCTTCTGCACTCCCCATTCCCGGCTTCAGTCCCTGAACACACTGGACACTCATATGGCCAGCCTTCTGTCTACACAGGTCCCTTCTAGAAATATCCCCTCTTCCTTCTTCACTTGCTGCGTTTCTAGGCTGTCCTTCTAGACTGCCTGCAGACACGCCTCCTAGGAAGCGGCTCTCCATGTCTGCGCCCACCATCACCCTCGCCACCGTGGGCTCTGCAGCCCCTCCGCCTGGGCCCCCAGGGCCTCTGCGCCTGCCGGAGTCACACATTCACCCCAGGGGGCATTCAGTTCCCGCCTAGGCGGCCGTCTCCCAATAGGACAGTGGCTCCTGGAGGGAGGGTTCGGGTGCTTCCTCTCCAAAGCCCGGCTTACAGTAGGTGTCAGTGAGTCTGTCTCCTTACCATCTGTCTCCCAGGAGCACCCCCCCCCCCCCGGTGGAGGTAGACCTTGCTTGTGTTACAAGTGGCTCCTGACTCCTGGGGGAGACCTCCTCCATCCAGCCTCCCTTCTTTGCAGCTGCTCGGGCAGCCCGGGCCCCCTTACCCTGGTGCAGCTGTGCTGTCAGCGCGCCGGCTGCTGCTTGGCTGGGGTGCAGACCCAGGTGGGAGGCTTAGGGGGCTTGGGGCGAGGTGAGGGCTCAGACCACCACCCTACCCCAGGCGGGTTAGTCATCAATGCCTGGACGGCATCTCTTTACCTCCGTTCTGCATCTGGCTTTTTCAAGTGGGAAAAGATTGAGTAATCCCGGGGCGCCTGGGTGGCTTAGTCGGTTAAGCGTCCGACTTTCGCTTAGGCCATGATCTCGCGGTTCGTGGGTTTGAGCCCCGCGTCGGGCTCTGTGCTGACTGCCAGCTCAGAGCCTGAAGCCTGTTTCAGAGTCTGTGTCTCCCTTTCCCTGACCCTCCCCTGCTCACGCTGTCTCTCTCTCTCTCTCCTAGAAATAAATAAAACATTAAAAAGAAAAAAAGATTGAGTAATCCCTCAAATGCCTCCCGTGTTCACCCTCGAGGGACCAAGCCCGGGCCTTAAAGAGCCTCTTATTTCTTGGGAAGCATTCTCTTTTTTTTTTTTTTTTTTTTTTTTTTGAGGGAGAGAGGACTGGTGGGTTGGGAAGCATTCTCTAAACTAACACCAGGTTTGAGGGGGAGGGGCCTCTTTCCCCAACCTCGTCACCCCGGGCCCCTCAGCTGTGCCCCATCAAGGGCAGAACACAGGGCGCCTTTCCGGGGCCATTTCCAGGGACCTGTCCCAACCAGAGGCAGCTGGGCGTGGGGAGGCAGGCCCTTCGGGTACGGACGCCCCCTCCCCGCCGCCGCCGCCCGATTTCCGCACCTGCGGGGCGGGGCTGGGGCTCCGGGCTGGGGCTCCGGGGGGCGGGGCTGAGCCGCGGGGGCGGGGCCTGGCTCGGGTGGGCGGGGCCTGGCTCAGGTGGGACCTGCCTGGGAACCGAGTGTCCCGCGCGCCCCGAGCCGGAGCCGGACCGAGCCAGGGACCCGAAGCCCTCGTCCATGGCCGGGTCTCCCCGCCGCGCCGCGGGCCGGCGACTGCAGCTGCCCCTGCTGTGCCTCCTCCTCCAGGGCGCCACCGCCATCCTCTTTGCGGTCTTTGTCCGCTACGACTCCGAAACCGACGCCGCCCTCTGGCACTGGGGCAACCGCAGTAGCTCCGACAATGAATTTTACTTTCGCTACCCAAGTGAGTGTGGGTGAGGGCGCGGGGAGCGGGCAGCCCAGCTCCGCGGTGTCTTGGCGTCCGCGTCTACACCTAGGAGAGCAGCCCTCTGGCTTTGAGACGAAGGTGCCCCAGATTTATAATAACAGCTTGTCACCAGTGTCCGCGCTGTCTTGGGCGTCGTGCTGCGGGCGGCCCACGCGTGGTCTCGTCTATCGGGCAGACAAAGATGGGGAAACTGAGGCTCGAAGAGGCTCAGAGCTGGTTCAGGTTCGCGCTGTCAGAACTGAAGGAGCTGGGATTCAAGCCCAGATCTGAGCTTTAATTGCTTCCTCGCCTCGCCTCCCAGCTGGCCTCACTGGGCTTTGCAGGGAGACTGCCTTTGTTAGGGCCTCCACCCCATCCCCGCAGGGACAATCCTCCTGGGCCGGGGAGGGAGGGCGGGCACCACAGGAGTGGCAGTGCCAGGCATTAGCTATGAAGGCAGCCAAGACGGGAGAGGCTCCGGCATTCCTTCCCCAGTGGCTCGAAACTGGCCCTTCCAGAGTCCGAGAGACGATCACACGACCACCGACCACAGCCCAGAGCAGCCGTCCCGGCCCAGAGCAGGAAGCGTGGCGGGGTCATTAGCCCATTTCACAGGGGAGGAAGCTGAGGCTCAGGGTGCTTGTGACTTGCTCATGATCGCCCATCAGGTAAACGGCAGAGAAGGTAGGACTCAGGCATCCCAAGGAACCCAGTTCTGCCTACTGGGGAGGCCCAGGAAGGAGGGGGTGAGCCCCTGCCCCCTGCTGGGGACAGAGCATCTCCCTCGAAGGTTGGGGGCCTCCCTTGCTGCTCAGGTCCAGGGCAGCTGGGACCCAGGATCCCAGATCTCCTCATTTCATCACCACCGCTTGGACAGGGCTTCTGTCCGCCTCAGTTTTCCCCATCTGGGCAATGAGGACGAGGATGCCTCCGTGTGAAGGACGGACGTTCCAACGAGGCCTAGAGTGTGAGGGTCTCTCATAAAATCCCAGGCTGCGATTGCCCTGCTTTTCCTATGCCGAGCTGGCGGCAGGCTGTCCCCACCCGACCCTCTCCTGGTACCAACCCCACCACAGTGCTGAGGACACAGGGGCTGAGACGCAGCCCTGGGCCCGAGCGAGAAGCGCTGGCCCCCCATCCTCGGCAGAGGGGCTCCAGCCCCTCCCGCCTGTGTTTCACCTCAACCCTGTCTGGGAAGGTGAGCCCCAGGGGCTGGGATGCCAGGCGTTTGCCCAGAGAGGTAGGGGGTTGGGAGGGAACGGCTCACGGGTTGAGAGAAGTAAGCTCTTGTCCCAGGGTCTGACCCGGCTGCTTGCCATTTGCGTCTTCCACGGGCCTCACCCAAGGCCCCATGCCCTGCTCGGCCCCCCGGAATGCCCCAACCGTCACCCCTCTGCTGCGATGGGGGCTCTCTTTGGGAGTGGGAGTGGGGATCCTACCTCTCTGCTGCCCTAGGTTTCTGTCCCCGTGGACTTGGGACCCTGGTGTGGGGGAAGGTTGGGGCGGAGGGAAGTGTGAGGTCTCTGGAGCCTGGGGCTTTGATGAGCCGGGTCTTCCCCTGCCCCGTGTCCAGGGAAGGGGTCAGGGCCAGAGGGAGGCGTAGCCACTGCCCTTTGATTCGGGAGATGAAAGGAGTTCTGCAGCTGGTGCCGAGGGCACGCCTGCTCCCGGGGTCTGTCTGTCTGTCGTTGCTGCAGGCAGGACCCTCAGAGCCCCTCTGGCCCACCACCCTCAGATGTGGAGAGAGGGCCAGAGAGGTCATGGGGCTGCCCACGAGCACACAGCGAGTTAGCCGGGCTCGAGCCGGGTCCCCCGGCTGTGGCCTTTCCCCGCATTGCAAGCCTCCTGTCCCATGAGACAAGTCACGGGAAGTAAGGAGAAAAGACAGGGCTGCAGGGGACACAGAAGCAAACACGAGAACGGTTCTAAGAAAACACACCTCTGAGTGTGTCACACACCCCTTACTTCTGGGGAGAGGGATTTAGGATAGCTGGGATCAGGGTCTTCTTAGAAGAGGCGGGGAAAGGGGCGCCTGGGTGGTTTGTGACCTCTTCTGGGAGAATAGGGTCCACGTCCCCCATAAGGCAGGGGTGGGGGTGGGGGTACAGTGTGGTGGGGAGACGGCCTCCTCAGCTCACCACGCTCTGCTCCTTAGATTTTATAGCCCGACTTTACAGATGAGGAAACTGAGGCTCACAGAGGCTAAATGGCTGGTCCATGGTCACACAATCCAGCTGTGACTGTCCCCTTGGCCCGAGTCATCTTGCTCCAAGCTATCCAGCGGGGCTGGGGAGGGGCAGTAAGGGATGGAGGGAGGCATCAGGCATCTCTAGATGCCTTCTCTTCGACCCAGGGTGCATACGCTTGGTGGCCACAGCCAACGGAGAGTCTATGGAATGTTCCCCGGTGAAGGAGATTTCCTAATGTTTAGACTGCATTTGAAAGGTCAAGGGACTGAGTTGTGATGCCAAACAAACCCAGGGTGGGAGACGTAAATATTATTGCCAGTTACGACCAGCTCTGGAGCGGTTTCTGCATGTCCCGGGCAGGGAGCCCTGCGACCCAGCCCCCTTTGCCATCTTGCTGTCCTTGGATGAGAGGACAGACGTGGCAGCCCCTTTGCTGTTGGCACAAGGAGAAAAGAAGCCAGGCAGCGAGGACTGAAAGAAGTTAGGCTGCAGGCTGAGTTAAAAGTGATGCTTCTCCTTTTCTGTTGGGTTTTACGATCTGAGAGGGAAGCGAGACCTGGGTGATCGGGGCTGGGGCACAGGGCTGGAGAAATGGCTCAGTGTAGGGGACATTTAGTGAGGCCAGTGGATCTTTAGACTTGCACTTTGAAGTTTAATAATAAATTTTTGGCTTGTTAGGCGCTTCTTCAGATTAAACAAAAAAGGTGACCATGACCTTTTTCTTTATGATCTGCCGCTTTCTACGAGAGATTTGAGGTGTGTATCGGGCAGAATAGAAATAATGGGCACTGTGAGTGCCTCCAGTTGTTTCCGTCGCGATGCCAGCGTAGCTCTGAGCTTCCAGGCAGCCAAGAAAAAAAGGGAAATGTGGTCAGTTACATGTTCTCATCAGAGGCAAGGAAGGCTCACGTTAGTGATTCTGTGATTCTTTGCCGTCTGCCTCCCAGGCTCCGTGAGGGCAGGCGCCCTCCCCAGAGCCCGGTGCTGGAGTTCTTCGCAAACTTCTGACGGGTTCCCTGGGGGAAGTGACATTTGCTAGCATTAAGTTCCAAGAGAAGTTTCTCACGTGGAGCTGTAAAAGGGGAGTTTAGGGTCAGAGTTGATCCTGTTTCTCAATAGCTTATTTACACTGCCTGGTTTCTAACGGCAGTCACGGTACTCTTTCTCTAGCTTTTCCCAGTTAAAGCCAAAGACAGAGCATGGACTTACCCTATACATACACCCAAGGCAGAGAGAACAGGGCCAGATGCGCTGGCTGAAGGTCACCCTAGGTCGTGTTTCAAACCCTGTTTACAAGTAGGTCGGTGGGAGGTGTGTGGACCAAACCGATACTGAAGCCGATATTTGTATGCATCTCACGTTCAGTATTACTGTATATTATTTGTGATAGCTTAGTGTTTTATGCATACACGATAGAAAGCAAACAGAAAGCCTCCGATCTCCCTGCCCAGAAACCTCACTGACACTCAAACTTCAACTAATTCATCTATAAAATTAACATATTCAAATTATAGAAACAAACACAAAAGCAAAATCCTCCTTCCCACAGCCGCCACACCGCACAACTCCAGGGGGCGTGGTCTGCGGTTCAGCTAGGCACTTGCAGCCCTGTGCCTCCCTGCGGTTCCTTCCCCGGAGGTAGTCTCTGTTAATGATTAAAGCTGTTTTAGACAAAATTAGGGGCATCTGGGTGGCTCAGTGGATTGAGCGGCCAACTCTTGATTTAGGCTCAGGTCGTGATCCCAGGGTCATGGGATCGAGCCCCCACATTGGGCTTTGTGTTGGGTGTGGAGCTTGCTTAAGATTCTGTCTCTTGAGGCGCCTGCGTGGCTCAGTCAGTCAAATTTCTGATTTTGGCTCAGGTCATGATCTCGCGGTTCATGAGTTCGAGCCCCGCGTCGGGCTCGGTGCTGACAGCCCAGAGCCTGGAGCTGCTTCAGATTCTGTGTCTCCCTCTCTCTCTGCCCTTTCCCTGCTTGCTCTCTGTTTCTCTCTCTCTCTCAAAAATAATATTAAAAAATTTTTAATAAATGTTAAAAATTTTTTAAAAAAAGATTCTCTCTCCCTCTGCCCCTCTCCTAGCTCATTTGCTCTCTTTCTAAAAATAAAAAAAAAAATTTAATAAAAAATTTAAGGCTATCTCACAAACTATTTTTAAAAACCTTAAAATCCTGGGGCGCCTGGGTGGCTTAGTCGGTTAAGCATCCAACTTTCACTTAGGTCATGGTCTCGCGGTTCGTGGGTTCGAGCCCCGCGTCGGGCTCTGTGCTGACTGCCAGCTCAGAGCCTGGAGCCTGTTTCAGAGTCTGTGACTCCCTCTCTCTCTGACCCTCCCCTGCTCACGTTGTCTCTCTCTCTCCTAGAAGTAAATAAAAATATTAAAAAAAAAAAAAAAAAACACCTTAAAATCCTGACGGGTGCCTGCGTGGCTCAATCGGTTAGGTGTCTGACCAGCTCAGGTCATGATCTTACAGGTCTTGAGTTCCAGCCTGCTGACAGCTCAGAGCCTGAGGCCGGCTTTGGATTCTGTGTCTCCCTCTGTCTGCCCCCCTCCTGGTTACGCTGTTTCTTTCTCTCTCAAAAGTAAACAAACATTAAAACAAAACAACCTTAACATCCTCAAAATGGAGAGGTATAGATTCTGAAGTATGAGGGATGGAGCTTAGACATCAGGAAGGACTTCCCAGCAGAAAGGGAAAGTTGAAAGGCGCCTGAAGGAGATGATTTTGAGCGTGGAGGGGCAGGGCCTGCAGCCAGTGAGAGCACAGGCAGGTTGTAGGAGACCCAGGGCGGGAGTCGTGGGGCCCCAGTGCCCCAAGCCAACCAGCCCTGCACGGGCGCCCCAGGCTGGGAGGCACCCCTGCCCCCGGGGAGTTTCCCAGGCCCGGCTCCAGCCTCGGGGCTGCCGGCTGGTGAGGCCCGGGGTGTGGGTGGGGGCACCGGCCGGGCAGGCCACCCGAGCAGCCCCGACGCGCCCGCAGGTTTCCAGGACGTGCACGTCATGGTGTTCGTGGGCTTCGGCTTCCTCATGGCCTTCCTGCAGCGCTACGGCTTCGGCAGCGTCGGCTTCAGCCTCCTCGTGGCCGCCTTTGCCCTGCAGTGGTCCACGCTCGCCCAGGGCTTCCTCCAATCCTCGCGCGGCGGCCGCATCCACGTGGGCGTGCAGAGGTGGGCGGCGGCGGCCCCCCGGGCCCCCCCTCCCGGCCCCTCCCCTGCGCGGGGGAGCCCGCCCCCCTCCTGCCCCCACCCCCCGCCTAGTCCCCCTCCCGGCCCCTCCCCTGCCCGGGGAGCTCGCTCCCCTT